ACTCAGGTCCCTGTAGCACAATTTTCCAAATCCTGCTTCATACTGAATCGTTTGAAATTGGTTTTTAGTCCTTGGGTGCCTTGGGAACCATGTTTGTAATCAAGCCTTTAATTAAAATCAAGTGTGTGGGAATTTGGTCATGTCTGCCAAGTTAACAAATCTGTAATATAACCACACTATGCAATATTACTGTAAAATGCTGTGAATCGTATTTCCTCAGTTTTGTAAAAAGCGCAACACATTGTGCTGTTTTTTGTGTGTGTGTGTCATTATCATAAATTAGAAATTTGCTATATTCCCTCTCATTACAGTCTCTGTGCTTTTCTTACAGCTTGGCTCTGTTGTGGTACCACACAGTAGTGCAGCCCTTCTTTGCTCTGGATGGCACAGACACACAGTCAGGCCTAATGGAAGCCAAATACATTCTTAAACAAAGAGAGGCTATTTATCCCAACTCCTCCCTCTTTATGTTTTTCAAAGGCAGAGTTCAACGCCTTGAGGTAAAGACATGTGAATACTAAACCTTGTTATCTTTTTCCATGTGAAGTAGTCTTCTAACTTGGAGAAGCTCAGTATTGTCTCACTGTAACTCATACTACAAAGTTTCCTTCTGTAGTGCGAGATCAGTAGTGCCTTGACGTCCTTCAGTAGTGCCTTGGATCTGGCCTCTGACCAAAGGGAAATTCAGCACGTTTGTTTATATGAAATAGGTACTGCCTGGCTCTCATATTTCTCTCATATTTCAAATATGCCTCACTCGGTATTAGTATGCAAGATCATTTCTGATTGATTTTTTTTTAGGCTGGTGCAGCATGATCGAACTGAACTACAGAGAAGCCTACAGAGCGTTTGACAGATTGGCGACTGAATCTCGCTGGTCCCAGTGCTATTATGCCTATTTAACTGGAGGTAATTACAGCATCCGTAATGCTTTCAGGGTATTTTGTAAGCTCGGTAGTGGATGCTAATCCATATTGTATGTTGTGTGGTGCAGTGTGCCAAGGAGCCACTGGTGATCTGGAAGGAGCCGTTGCTGTTTTCAAGGACGTTCAAAAACTTTTCAAACGCAAGAATAATCAGATAGAAATGTTTTCCATGAAAAGGGTGAGTGTGTAACTAGTTTGTTTCCTGTAGGAATATTTTGGTGCTAAGAATGCCACTGATGTGAATATGCACTTTTGTTTTTTCAATCAGTCTGAGAAGCTAAAGAGCTCCAGTATATCCAAAGAACTCTGCATCCTATCAGTGATTGAGATTCTGTATCTGTGGAAAGCTCTGCCCAATTGCTCCAATGCCAAGCTGCAGACGATGGCCCAAGGTACTGCATTCCAAACTAATATCTCGCTTGCATTATGTGCACTAATGCAAAGTGTTTGTAATTTTGATTCGTCCTTTAGTGTTACAGGGGATTGATGACGCATCGTGTGCAGGCCTGAAAAACCTCCTTCTTGGTGCCATAAGCAAATGTCTACATAATACCAAAGATGCCATTCAGGTACTCTTGTGTTAAATTAATTATGCAATTTGCATTTTTGGAAAATTGATACACAGCATGAAGCACGGCCCTCGCCGTCTGCCTTAATGGATTGTCAAAGTTTGTCCATGCACTTACACAACATAATAATCAATGTTTGTTTTGGTATCATGACTTTTTTTTTTTTCGAAACAGTATTTCCAGCTGGCTGCAAGGGATGAGGGGGGGCGTCTGAGCAACTCTTATGTGCAGCCCTACTCTTGCTATGAACTGGCCTGTGTGCTGCTGAATTCCCCAGAGGCAAGTTTTTGTGTGTGTGTATGTGTGATAGTTAGATGATCTCTCTTGGCCAAGGTCCTGGAGGAGTTACACTATCTAAATATTTATTTCTCTTTTTTTTTTTTCTAGTCTGCGGGGAAGGGCCGAATGCTAATGCTTCAGGCCAAGGTACAGTAATACTCCTTATTTATTCTCTGCCCTGAAAGGAGGTAATATGTCCTGTTTTTCTGTCTATTTGTTAGCAGTCTAGCTTCCACTGTTTTTAAGATATCATTGTGGCGGGGTGTGGCCTGCAGTGCCGTGCAGGGAAGGCGGACGCAACCTGCACGGCATCCGCAATCATGCCCCGCAGACTTAAATGTTGTACTGGGTCCTGTGGTTGGAGAGGTGGTGTTGATGTGAGTACAGCTGGCAGCAGGAGAGCTGCGGCCGTTGTGTGTAAATGGTGTGCCTCAATAAAAGACGTTGAAAAGCAGTAAAATGCCATCGGGTCTGCTGTGGTCGTTTACAATCATTTTTAAGTTTTGTGTGATGGCAGTTACCAACAGCTCGAGCTGATTTAATTTAGGTGAAAATCTGGTTAAGATCAAGGTCGCACCATATGTGAAAATCAGTACAAAGTTTATATTAGCCATAACTTTTTATTGATCGTCTTCAAACTTCACAACAACATACTGGGCATTGGAGGACATGAGCACCCATGTAGGCTAAGCATTTCACCTTGACCGTCATTATTAGCGCCCAAGGTGAAAAGCTGGTCTTGAAAAACATTTTAAGAAACCATATTGAGTATAATATGTCATATGAAAGGTCATGAAGAGAGCTTGTGATGTCACAGTGATGCCGTAACAGGCTGACATCCTCATATTGTAATGAAAACAGGCTGATGTCAGCATGTTTTATTAATTTTAGTGTAGCCCATGGTCTTTGGGGCGAGTCGCACTATGAGTGATCTTGTTACTACTTGAAGTAGTTGGTAACAAGTCCTGTTTTTTATTTGATTAATTAAAAGCAATTAGTAGTGTTTAGATTTCGTCTTATTTCTGCTGCGGGTCAAAGCTTTCTATATAAAACTGATCGGGATCTTTTCATTCTGACTCATTGCTCTAAATCAGGTTAAGACACCCACTGTCTGATCAGGTGACAGGATGTCTATTAGAGTGCCAGTGCTGCTTGAACTTAGTGAGCTGAGTATACTGGCTTTGCATTGACCTAAAGTTTGCCAACACTGTAGCCAAGGCTCTGTATAAGGAATGGATTTAAATGGTCTGAATGCTTGATGCAGTCTCGCCCTGCAGAGCAGTGTTGTAAGTATCTTGCTTGCATTAGCATTAACTTTGTTAGTTGATTGGTAGCTGACACTGAATGAGCACAGATCTCACTCTATTAGCCGTAACAGCCATCTCTGCATGTCTGGGCAGACACACGGTGTCTGAGAGGAGCACAGGAGGAGCCAAGCACTGGGCTCTCTGTTTTTCTTACCTGATTGGTCAGCATGTTCATTGATCTGTCTGTGTTGACTGCAGAGGTTGTTAGAGGGCAGAGCACAAACAAAATAAAATTCATTTTGTTTTCTGTGCAGGAGGACTACGCTGGCTATGACTTTGAGAACCGACTCCACGTTCGTATTCATTCAGCTTTCGCCTCTATGACGGCCTCCGCCCAGCCTTGAACTTTAATCTGAAATAAGTGTCTTTGAAAAAGCCACAATAATGAGTATGGATATTTTCACTTTAAAATAATTTCTTTATACTTATAAGATTCTGAGCCAGTGCATCATTTAGAACACAAACATGAATATTTCACAAGAAAACAGGTACAAAAGGTGTTATCGATCTGTTACTGTACGGCACAATACACTGTTTGTTTTTGTCTTCAGGGTTTGTTTTAAAACTAGATGCCTGTTGAATTGAATGAAAACCCGTAGATTTGTTTTGTAAGCTCTTAGGCATTATTGCTTAAATGGAGGAAATGTTTCTTCAGATTCTGTAAAGGCACATATCAAGTATTAAACATCACAGCAATTACAAGAAATGACTCTGAAAATGTCTTTAAGAAGCCAATATTTCCACTTCAGTGTTGGTTGTTGACTTTGACATTTGTAAAGCTAATCTATAGGCAGTGTATTAATCTTTTGTTTTTGTTTTTTTAAAAGCACAGCCCCTTTTTAAGCAGTCGTTTTTATCAGTGTAAATATGTCTTGCATAAAGGTTTTAATAAATGTGCCACTTTGAGCGGCTTAAATGCACAACGCTCCTTTCTGCTCCAAAGTTTTTCCTGTATATTTGTTATAATAAAAACAACATTGTAAAACTGAATATCTGTTTCCGTTGACTGTTAAAGTGTCATAGCTTAAAGGTGACAAATACATTTCTTCACCAACAGAATTTGTACTTCTTTAGTGATCAAAGTAATCACGAGGGGCATCAAGCCTTTCCTGTGGTGGCTTATGAGGCACAGACAATGATGAGGAATCTTTTATCATTCCTCCTCAAACTGCTTCAGATGCCTTCATTTTCCTTCAGATCATGGAAATTGGACATTTTTTTTCCTTACTGTTTTCTTGTTTGTTAAATTTTTTTTATCCTGTATTACAGAACTTCCGAGCTTCATCTATGAACTACTGCTATTATATTGTTATTACATCCATCTTCTTCTGGTTATTAAATCCAGGGTCACAGGGGAGCTTGGGCCTATTCCAGCTGGCATAGGCGCACAGGCAGTGTACATCCTGGACAGGTCACCAGCCTGTAACAGGGCTAATACTTATTACCTGTTTTAATTCATTGTTCCTTGATGACAGGGTGTCTTGTACCAGAGGTAGCAAAGCAATGCTAAACCATGATTCCCCCTTTATACTAGGTTTCTTGGTCCTGATTTTGGTGATGGTGTGCACTGTCTTCTGCCCCTCTAAACATATTTAGATGGGCATCTTTTTGCTAAAAAGATCAACGTTTGTTTCAGCTGTCAAATGGAAACATGCCAAACAAATTTTAGAGTAATGAAAGAGCAACTCAGAGTTCAGTATCTTGCTTAAGGACACTTTGGTACATAGACTGGAGCAGCCGGGAATCAAAGTGCCGGCCTTCCAGTTCTCAGATGACCTGCTGTGCTACAGCCACCACAGAAGATAACTTCTGGGTAATCAGATTGCTTGATTCAGTCATAGCAAATGTAACATTCATGATCATAACCATGTACACAAGAATTTTTTTTTTTTTTTACCGCAAAAACCCACAAAACAAAACCACATTAAACTTTTATTTAGCAACATAGAAATTCTGTTTAAATAACCAAACGAGTGATAACACATCTAAAGTGTATACATGTAGCAGCTATTGTTACATGAGTGATGAATATTCAGTGCTTAACTGTAAAGGAGGTAAGGCTTGCATAGTTGTAGTGATGCACATGCGTTTGAGATAGTTGGATTTCAGTTATATCAATGCACATAGTACTAAGACGATCACCAGGTATTCTAATCTATATCAAGACTTTTACACAAACACACTCACACACTAATCTATAATTGAAGAACCAATGTCCCTGCTTTAGTATAGTTAAGAAAAAAGTTACGTTTACAGAACCAGGTAGACTTACGCAATGCTGTTAATTGCTGTACACATCTATACAGTACGTAGTATAGGGTTTATTTAATCAGATATTCAAACAGTCTTCTGGCCATCTTTCTTATACACTGTTAGAAATAGCTACACACACAGTTTCACTTGACCGTAGAGGTCTACAAATTAGGCAAATTTGTAACACATTCAGTTAATCGCTAAATATCTGCAGCACTCATAACAGGAAGTGAAAACAGAGGCCGATATACCAAAATGACCTATTTTAATACTTCGCACTGCATAACAGTATGTATGCACAAGTGTCAATCGTAGCCAAAGGTGATTTTAAGAATCGTCACTCCTCTCGATGCTGAAGCTAATGAGGAAAATGTTTTCATGACCAAATGTGAATTACGGAAAAACTACAGACAGTACAGCTCAGCCTGCTATTTAAACACTCGGTCTATCCAACATGAAACATTTCTAAAAAATACATTCTAGATTTTTTTTTAGAACATGCCGGTATCTCAAGTGGTCAAGAAGAACCACAATAAATAATAAATAAGTGAAAGAAAGTATTGTGCTTTATTACTCACACAGACCTACTGAGGATTATACGTCTCTGGGTTCAAACCGAACACCAACACATTAGCTGTTGTTCTATACTCCATTACATAGTTGCTTATGACCCCCAGTATAGCAGATGAAGTCCAAAGGTGAGAAATCTGTACAGTATGAATGCATGTAGTTTTGCCTTGTTTTTTAACTTATTAGTAAATGTCAGGAAGCTGAGAGTAATTCCTGTCCCAGTAGCCTTTCAAGTAGAGCCAGTCCTGAGCTTTGTTGTGTGGGTTGGGTCCTTGTTGAAACCACCTGAACAGTGAGAAGATTTAGTATGAGCACAGCACTTTGAAATAACAAAAGGATTAAATAAATACATAAGAGAATGACACACATAACACACACTAAGCAAAGACAAATTGATGGCAAGGCTCCATCCACGGTGTACAACTTTAACCTCCTAAGACCCGAACTCTTCCACAGCATGCATTTTTAATTTCTCTTTGATATTTGGCCATATTGGGGCCCGATGAATGTAAAAACAAAGAATTACCAGATTTTTTTTTTATACCTGATTTTTGTTTCTAAAAAAAAAAAGAGATCCACATATGAGGATATTCATTTAAAATTTCGATAGAACAGCAGCAGTATAATGTCCTCGTAATTGGATATCAGGCCCATGTAGAGCAAAATTGAGTATTTTGGTCTAAATAACCCAAAATGTGATGTCCACATATGTGGACGCCAGGTCCTAGGAGGTTAAAAAGCTGAACAGTATTAAACACCAGACTCTTTATGTGACATAGTCTGAAAACACACACAGACACGGGCACACACAAAGACAGACAGACCAAGAGCAACAAAAACATGCATTTGTGCATTTTGTCCTGTGGTGTAGTGTAGTGCAGCACTTCACATGAGAGAAAAATAACACTCAAAAAAAGCGCAGCAAACCTTGGGCCAAGTGCAGCGTTCCTTTTCAATTATAATAAGTTAAATGCATAGTTAATAGCAGAAGACAACATGGAGGCAATCAGTGAATGCCCACCCACAATCGATTTAAATTTCATTTCTCATTGACTAACCTCACTTTCCATTCCTCTGTTGATTTGGTGCGATTCTTCCGGGCCGTCCTCTGTTTTTCCTCAAGTCTCTTCTTCTCAGCACTTGCCAGATCTAACAGCCGTGGATACAGAAAACTGAATACCACCACAGATTACATTCAGCGGGCTCAGCATAGGAAATCAAGATCACGCACTGTACCTATGTCTCCTTTCTCCATGGCGCAAATATCTGGTCTGAGGCGACTGTCTGTGGGAGGTATGACGCCCTCCATGCGCTTGTCTAGCTCGTTTAGCTGCATGGCGAATGTCGAAAACGCGTAGAACTGCAACACGCGCATACACACAAGAAAGAAACTTAAAGCAAAATATTCAAAACTGATCTGACCGATGTCACGTTTATTTCCTTTTGTACCTTGGATGAGTTTTCCGGACGTGGCGTTATTTTCCAGATGAGTTCACTGCCTGGGATGACCTGCACAGTCTCAGTATCAGGTGGAGGCGTCTCTTCAGGCTCCTCATCGACACTGGTCTAAGGCCGCAGAGAGAGACATATACAGTACAGAGCAGAGACACACAAGTACTTCTGATGTTTTACACTTTCTTTTAGTTTTTCTTTTAGTTATTTGACCTTTTTAACTTGTTTTATTTACAATCTATGTATTTTAGTTCTAATGTACAGCACTTTCTGTCAGCTGTAGTTGTCTTAAAGTGTTTTATAAATAAGGATGATATGGTATGTAATAACTTTTGTCTTGGCCAGCTATTTGATATACCCTCCATGGTATGCCGTTTTGCAAGTCAGTTGGAGGCATGGGTGTGCTGTGGTTATCACAGGTTCTGGTTTCAAACCTGCTAGCAGCCTGCGGCAGACTTTGACTTGTCCGGTGTGATCCCTGCATCTCACACTATGACAGTTATAATAGGTTCTAGCCCTCCTCAATCTCAAATTGGATAGACTGTTAAGAAATGGATGAATCCACGAGGAAACTTCCACGTTGTTAAACTGACTAAAATACAACACAGTCGACAGATTCTGCTCTGCCACACAAAACAGGTACTATGTAACAGGAAGAATTAGATGTAAAAACATATGTCAGTTGACCTGAAATCATTAACTGAAACAGAAACAGCTGGGTTGGGATAAAAAACTGCACAGTGAAAGCATCATTAAAAAGGCAAAGATGCTGCAGATGAAGTGACAGCTTGATCATAAATATGAGATGTTTCTCTCCCAAGCAGACAATTGTAGAAACTGAGTGCAACAGCAAAAGCAAGGTGTCCCTGTGAAACTGGAAGAGATTCAGCAGCGCCATCAGCTGCTGGCAGAATAAAATATTGGGACCCTGGAACAATCTGGTCCAGTTTGTTCAGATGTGCTCTTTAAGCAATACTTGCAGACAAAAAAAGAGGTGCTCTAGACATGACCCCAACAGAAGGCAGGCCACCAAAGGAAACCCTTAATGATGAATGTCTGCAGGGAACAGTGAAGCATTGTCACAGACCATGTTATTTGCAGGGATTTAATATTGGCTTATGCATAAAAATCACAGTGTCTGATTGCCTGAGATCATTCTGCACCATGACAAATTCCCTTAAGGTTCACCCAGTGTCATTAGGAACTGTCTTCAGTGACAAGATCAAGAAGTCCAGCAACTAGTTGGTTCCCAAAGAGCCCTGATCTAAATATATTACATGCAGCAACATGAAGTAGCTGAAATGGACCAAATAAATAGAACTGTAACAAGTTATGAACGATTCCTGGGATCTGCAAATGGAGCCGTTTTAAGGCATCAACCAAATTTAGGTTCTGCTTTACTGCACTTGTGGGAATTCATAAAAATACTCTTGTTCAAGCTTACTCAGTTATGGGGGACTACATATCTAATCTGCAGGTAGATTACTGTAAAGTCCCAGCATGATTATTCAATGCTCTCTATAAAACACATGCTCCTCTTTGTTTTCATACAGACAACACTGTACTGAGGTGGTGTGCACTGCAAAGCACAAACCACCAGAGGGCAGTCTCTACAGGTGGAAGATGCAGCTGTTCAGTCACCTGTGCAAAATGGAAACTACCAGTAGTTTTACAAAAAGGTATCGGTGAGCTAACCAAAATGGACAATGCTGTGTACATAAAACACAAGTTAAACACAGTGAACTGAACTTTAAACAGTAACAATGCACAGCTACACTCACAGGGTGGCTAGCAGGTCCAGCACCATGCCATTAATGATAAAGGTATAGAAAAAGTGACACAGACTAAATACAACAATAATTACATTTTGCTTTATGAGATAAGTGTTTACATCCACCTTATAATATTAACACATTTGAACTAGGAGAGTTTGTTGGTTCTAAAGTGCAGCACAAACACTATGGGCTGTAGCCTCAGCAGTTTACTGGGTGAAATATTGAAAAGGTATGAAGGGGTGGGGGGATCATCAAAAACAAATAAACCTACAAGCCCAGTGCCCTAAACTCTGGAAACCAACGGAGACAGAACAAAGGCGCCTTTGAAAGCAGTCAAACGTGGTACCTGTTTGTTGCCCTTTTTTTCGTCTGGATTCTTTTTTTCAGTCTTTTTGTGGGCATCAAAAGTCGCAGGGTCTACTGTGTAAAGGCATTCAGTCCATTTGCCATATATTGCACAGAGCTTCTTTTTGCTGCAAACATAAGAAGATGAGATATTAATAAATCACAGCTTTAGGTGCAGATAATACCAAGCGCTAACATTCCCATCGTGCAATATAAACTGTGCCACTTTAATATACATTATAAAGTAAATCACAAAGAAACGCCTTATGACAAATTGACTTACTGCTTACAGGCATTACTAAACAGCAATAACTCATGAAGATACCTTTTATCTAGGATGTATCCTTCAACTTTATGCAGCTCTTTTCCAAAGAGGCCACAGGGCTTGAAAGTCATGCTGCATCTCTCTCCGGTTCTGCAAGCAAATGATAGCCTCTTTACCAATTCTCTTTCACTTTTCTCCCTCTGCGAGCTGAAGCTTTCAAACATTAATTAACCTGCTCATGCGACTGTCCCAGTTCTGCTTCCATGATCAATAAGCTTAAGGTTTATAAAGTAGATCAACATTCCTCTGCAGAGCAAGGGAAAAATATATTCCTACATCCAAGTCTCTGTGCATGCAAATGCGTTTCACAGATACGGAGAACACTGCAATACATATTTTACTTGTGATTGAGCACTTCCACGCTGCCGTACTGCTCAATCCAAAGCTGACCGACGATAATGTTGTGGACGCAACAGGTGGGGTTTGTCCAGGTGTACGCTTCGTTATATCTACAGAGACAAAGAAGCACTCAGCAAAGGAGAAAAAAAACAATTCCTTACTAAAATACATCAGAACAGATTTATAAAACAGCCTTCAGTGTGAGCTCACTTGGGTAACTCCAGCGTGATAACTCCCTTGGGCTCAGCTTCTATGCTCTTCCCCCAAAACTTGAGTTTGGGGTAGATGGAACCATGAAAGACAAAATCCTCCTTGAGGCCCTCAGCGTGAAAGGCACTAACCGGAGGGTGATGGCTTACTTGCTCAGACATCCACCTAAAGCCCAAATCGTCTCTGATGGCAAGCAGGGGTATGTTTGATACAAGACAAAGCTCATTAACAAAAATACACGTGTACAGTAAACAAAAGCTGATTTGTGTATAGGTGCGCTAATACTGATGAGTCTGCTGCCTTACCTGATTAGCTCATAGGTCTCCCCCAGGAGGGGGTTGAAGGGCTTCCCAGTCCTCTCCCACTGTGACGCTACAGCTGACACAGCAAATGCTGCAACACACTACACCGAAACATTGTTTTATGTTAATCAAATTACAGGCAACTAACTCAATTTTTGATAGTGCCGACATGCCACAGCCTCTCTGCACTCATTTAATAATAGTTCAGCAGTTTAATGAGAGGATAGTGATTTGATCCCAGTCAGATAATTAAATGCATCACTACTATTAAAAATGCATCTGTTTTGGAGTTTTTGTTTAACTGAAGAAAGGATATATGGCCAGAATGGTACCTTCATCCTCTCGATAGAGTCTGTTGTGGCATTCGCCTGGTGGATGAGGTAGGTGTGCTCCATGTATTCTGTTAGCCGCTGGAGGAAGCTCAGAGGCTCATTAAATACCACAGGCATGGCAATCTTTGATAACTCCTGCAAAGAAGAGTTAGAGAAGAAAAAAAAAAGACTATTAGGACAAACATGATATGGTTTCTGCTTTATTAGCAGACTTAAGCCTAAGGAGACCAAAGCGCTTGTATATTTTATTCACTCTGTGAATTTTATGTTTTTTGTGTGATGAGATTTTGTTTCAGTACTTGGTAGAAAAGCATTCTTCAAGTTTATGGGAAAACCTTCAGAACACAAAAAGGCTTTTTGTTTTTTGCTCTCCCTGGGTGAGTTTAAACTCAAAATGATTCGTTAACGTAAGAGTGTAGCACTACTATTTTTTTTTGTTTTTGTTTGTCCCAATTTGCTCTGTTTTTTGTTATCCTATATCTGTGTCTGTTATACCCAATTTTATCATTTTGGTAACCACGTAATGGTGTGCTTTTTCTGGCCAGGTCTCCCTTGAAAAAGGGGTAAGTGTCAAGGGCTTTCAGCTCTTTTGGGGGAAAAATGAACTGAACTCTCTGTGCTGCACAGAGAGGCTGATTATATTTTAGACTGAGGATGATCAAACCCCACCTCTACACTTGGTTTACACTATACTGTCTCACATTTTGCCTTTTTTCATAAAAGCAACTTCAAAAAAAGCCCTCGCTTTTCATAAATCCTAATTTTTTTTTATATCATATCCTAGTTCTAATTCAACAATCTGCATTATAAAAGCTCATATCTACATTAAAACACAACAAGGAAAATAAAACAAAACATCTACCGGACTGAGGGTGATGTGTTCTCACCATGCCAATGCATTTTTTCAGGATACTCCAGATGCTCACGTCGTTCCTGGAGAACATGGGAGCCGGTAGAGATGTTCTGTGCGGAAGCAATATGAATAACAAAAAGAGGGGTAAACACAGAGAGGATTTCCTATATCACGCGATCCAGCTCTATTAACATATGGAAAATTATGCTTGTTGTCTCAGCTGTGCAATTCAAAGCAGATGATGCATGCTAGATGATCTGGCCTCGTCCACACTCCAAACAGCTTTTCTTTTAAAATGTGGCACTGAGCTAAATTCTAAAACCTTCACGTTTTGGGTAAAGCGCACATTAAAAACACATAAATCTGTCTCCTGTGGGTACGAAGCTGCACTATTTAAAAGCTTCAGAGCAGACAACTTAGCTCGACCCACCATTTGGGAAAAAGGGTTATCCGACACCTGTAAGCTTTCAGCTAGTCCGTTCAACCTCATGCAATACCCATGAATGCATGTACAGCTGTGTGTGTGTGTGCACGCTGACTATAATGCGCTTTCCTTTCATTTTTCTTGTTGCATATGCAGTTGTCTGGAAACATTCTTCACATGAGAAAGCTAAGATGGAAATTAGATTAAAGTATGTGCTTGTTTTTGTTTTCTTGGTCACTGAGTTCATCTTGCAGTCTTGCCAGCATCTGCAGTATGGACTCTTTTACAGGTATGGTAGCTGGAGGCAGATGGTGTCCTTGTTTAAAGAAAAAAAAAATGAAAAGAGTGCTGGTCCAACACACAAATAAAAGCCATTACTTCAGCTAAATAAACAGTGAGCGGGGAGTGGGGGGGTGGGGGTTTGCTCCATCTGTAGGATGAGCAGAGCAGTGATGCATGGCAGACCATACTCCTGGCCTATTTTTTGTTCCACTGGCCTCTGCTTCAAGATTTATTAAAGCATGGATGGATTTCTTCATATACATTATCTACGTAAGGCTCTTGAATATTATTTGTTTATAGAGGTGCTAAACATTTAACATGTTTACCTTTAAATGTGGAGGAAAATGCTCAAATCTATCTTTGATTGTTTCCAAAATACAGTTAAAAATGCATTTAACGGACACTGTGCTGGTCAGCTGAGGTTACTGAAACGTGAGCCCACCTGGAAGTGAGGTGTGACGTGCTATACAAGCGAATCTTTAACTACTTTGAAGCAGAAACATCTTACAGCTGGCACTGTGCTCAGTTTTCAAATCCTTATTTCATATACAAACAGATAACACAGCTACAACACCATGGTAGTAAGGATATATTAAGGCGGTGTATTTGGAGTTCTGACAGATAATTGAAACAGTGTGTTGTCATAGAATCGTTCAGAGAAAGACTTAAATTGAAACATGCCTGTATCAATTACTGTGGAGACCTGTGGATAGTTTTCTTGAGAGGCTACGAAGGTTTTATATTATTGCAATTTGTTTATTGTATATTATGTCATAGCGCTTATATTTTATTCTATATTTGTTGTGTTTTTGAGATGTTTTTAGTTTTTACAGCTATTTCCTTCCCAGGTCTCTCCCTTGTAAAAGTTTTTGATTTCAAAGCCATCTCCTGGTTAAATAAGCGTAATAATAATCTTGTAAAGAATTAATGGCAAAATGACTCAACATAGAGAAAAACACACCAGACTGTCGGCAATCATTGACGGGCATCCTTTGAATGACAGAATTAATTTCAAATAAACAGACACCTCATAAATCTTTCATGTACAACACATACGAGCCCACACATATGCACACAGAGCTAGCCAGGCAGCCCTTTTCTCCAACTCTACTCTGAGCCAGCACATGCTTAATTATTCATGGATCACTTGTTGGACTGAGGAAGACAGGCCAAGCCAGAATCAGCATCCACGGAAATGAGAGAGAGTGTCAAATCTTCACGACAACACAGCAAGATGCACTGAGTACTGAAACGACTGTTGGCTTGGAGAGTTGGAACTGTCAGGAAAAACGAAAACAGGCTATTCTCTGTGGACTGGATGCTCGAGCAAGCAAAAAGAC